AATAAAAAACTAAATTAAATAGAGTACAATATATTAATGTAAAATAAAAAAATTCGTAGGATAATTAAAATAAAATAAGTTTAAATAAAATAACATAAATCAGAATAAAATAAACTTAATTAAATTTAAATTAAATAAAGAAATGGCATAAATAAAGTTAAATTTTATTAAACTTAATTAAATTTAACAAATTAAATTGAGGTATCAAAATAAAAGTTAAGACATAATAAACTAAAAGATATTGAATTAAAGTAAAATAAAATAAATTAACTTGCTCCCAACTCACATCTATTGTGCAAACACCAACAGGTGTAAATTTTATGAATTCAAATAGTGTCGAATAAAAATATCAATAAATGCACGTATGTATGTATACACACACAAGCTCTTGCCTACGTGTCTATTTAAAATACATGTCAATAAGAAATTCAAAAAATTCAAAATAAAAATCAATTCACATGCAACTGTCAACATTATGAAATCGTAAAAACGCTTTCAGTGGAAATCAAAGAAGCCACGCTGCAACATTCAATCAAATGCAACTTAAAATTTCAAAAGCAAATGCGCATAAAAATTGCTTTTTCATGCATACATATGTAAATACATCTATACATATGCGTATGAGCAATTGTTCGTGTTTTGTTTGTACGTTTGCTATTAATTAAGCAATCTTTTTCCAATCGACAATCAATAAAATCAGATTGATAGCGAAATGTAGACATACATATGTACATATCATATGTACATACATACAAATATGTATGTTTGAATGGATATACCTAGCAAATGTTTGTTTGTATTTACATAAATGCAAGTGATTTATGCTGAAAAGGTGAAAGCATTGCTTAAATTAATAAAAACGGAATATAAAAAACACAGAAATCGAGGCAGAAATACATCTATCTACATACTCATCAAAACTTGTATATATATATTGGTAATAAATGTATTTACTCATACGTATGCATGTGTTGCAGTGCCTTAACGGAAATTGTTGGTTTTAAAAAATATTTAAGTTAATTAAAAAAAAAGTAAAATCGTTCTCTAACAAAATTCTCATAAAATTTTAATTTTAATACATTAACTCAGTAGGATTAAAAAAAATATACATATTAAAATATTTCTTTTATTTAAAAAAAAAAAAATATTTAATTTTAATTACAGATATATTATATTTTTCAATATTTTTGACATTACTCGTTCAAATTTTTGGTAAATATTTTTAAAAGCTATTTTTCCTTATATTTTTGATATGAAAAATTTTGAAAAAATAATTATAACAATTTTTTAGTTTGATTTTTCCAAAAGTTATTATTATTATTTTGTTCCTTTCAAAATTAGTGTCTAGCTCTTGGGTCCAGTTTTCGAGAAAATTTAGTTGAAAATCTACTGAGCATGAACCACCTTAATCTTTGTTATATTTGTTTCATACATACATACATATGTTTGCATATTTTCGTTCAAAATAATTCCTGTTGGGAAGATATATACAGACATATCTATCAACTGCGCTAAGTAAATATTCATCCATATATCTGCATTTGCATTCTCAAACTGTTTGCTTTGAATGAACCTTGTACTTGATTGAATTTAATTGTAACTGTCATTGAAATAAAAATGAAAATGAAAGAAAAAATGCAGCACGCAATACAACGAATCAAGCAAAATTGTGTATTCTTCCACCGCCCTCATGCACTATGGGAGCAGCTTTGAAAGTTGAGCTTTAATAGTGCTACTTTGAGTTATCACACCATCTGTATTTTCCTTTGCCCTCCCACCTAAGCGATTAGATGGAGATATTCGACATGCATGCAAATTTTTTCATTTATTTTATTTTGTTTTGTTATTTTATTTGATTTCAACTTATTTCATTTTTTATGATTTCAATTTATCTTATTTTACTTTGTTTTATTTTGATTTGTTTCATTTCACTTTATTTTATTTTATTTTTTTTATTTTATTTTATTTTATTTTATTTTATTTTATTTTATTTTATTTTATTTTATTTTATTTTATTTTATTTTATTTTATTTTATTTTATTTTATTTTATTTTATTTTATTTTATTTTATTTTATTCTATTTTATTTTTTTATTTTAATTCCATTTAATATTGTTTATTTTTAATATCTATGTCATTTTTAGAACTTAAGGTTTCACTTTATCATATAAAAATTTGTCTGTATTGTTTATCACATTTTCGCAGTTATGTTTGTGTTTTGGCTAATATTTTTTGTATCTTAATCTGCTTGTTTTGGGCAAGTCATTGACGTGACCTAGATATCTCGTCAATATTGCTTTTCAGTATAGCCCAATAAGCACAGTGTGTTAGAAAAGTCTCTTGTACCATATCGTTTTTCATTGAATACGTAATAATAAATTATGGGATTTTTTAATTATTTTTTTTTTAATGTCACAACACAATTCAAAATATCTATTTTCGAACGTTCCCTCTTGTAATACTCTAACTATTTTTATTTATTGGTTATATGTATATTTATATGTAAATATGCACTTATTTATATGTTCTTGGTTATGAATATTCTCGCAACCACAGAATTTTCGCTGATTCGCGCTTCTTGCTCCCTGGAATGGCGCCAACTATAAAAACTAAGTGATACATACATACATACGAGTACATATATGAGCATGCATATATCCTCCATATTTCTCTATGCATGTATGTGTGTATTTGTTGAAATTACAGCATTCAGCAGCGCTTCCTTCTACTTGCTGTGTTGCTCATATTTTGTGCGCCTGCCTTTATGCATCGAATCTATTAAAAAGTTTTTAAGTGTCTTCCCAATCCTCTCCACAATCCAACCTATGAATTTCCCAGTTTAAAAGCCATAAAGTTTCCGATAGTCGTATGATTTCTGATATGAATACGAACAATGTTTTATGGGTGAATATTGTTTGAGCGGGTTGAGATTAAACGCTTATGAGTATTATGGCAAACCCACTCATATAAAATCAGATATAAAAATGCCACAAATCAGCATTTTATTTGTTTACATTCACACAAATGTACAAGTATATTCACACAAAAGCTATTTTCACTCATAAATCCATTTCATATGACGAAAATATTATTTTGGCGCAAAGATAATTGGGTCAAGAAAGCCATTGAGCAGATGTGAATTCGTGAGTGGCAAAGCTGCAATGAGCAATGCCGTTGTATGTGGCACAATGTCCTAAAGTTCAAAACCCTTTGCGTTGCTTTCTTATTTATCTCTCTCTGCTAAGCGTACACTGAACCCCACTCGTTGCCAAGCATGAAAGAAAGCCTTTTAAATGCGAGTTATTATGGAAAAGTAAAGTCCTTACTCGAAAGTAAGATGAAATGAGAGAGGAGCCTTATGATCGATGTGGTTCTGCAGTTCTCACTTTATTATCCTCACCTACTATGCGACAATGGACGGCATTGGAAGACGGTGGGTCCTTGAGAAATGCAAAACAGCGGCCATATAAAAGAACACAAATTTGGTGTTGTATTTTTAAGCCCTCCTCAAACGGAAGAGAGGGCCGATGTGACCAGGAATGTTATCTATAATTATATATATATATATAATTGTGCTGGGCCTCTTTAACGCCAGTGTGGGAAACGTAGGTATTTTTGGCTCATCGATTATTTCATCCTCTATGACCAAAACTCCTCAAACGGCTGAGGCTGATAGATTAACAGACAGCCGAACGGTTTTCAACTCGACTTGCACACCTGGCTTTTGAGAGCACTCCACAGCAACTCGATACAATGGAGCTGTGGGACGGAATCTCAAACTCTCTATGTACTTACGCTATGGAAGCAACAGGCTGCCTACCTCGTAACGGCTGTTGAACGGAAGTTGAGAACCTGGCCGACAAAGGGGATGCTCAAAAATTCTACGAAAAGATACGGGAAAGAAAGTTGGAACCAAGATGGTAATATAACGACTTGTGTCCAGAACATACTTCGTGTATAGAGGGAACATTTCTCCACCCTTGTCCCATTCAAAGAACGAAAAAGCTACTGGAACTGATGGCTTACCGGCAGAGCTTTTCAAACGTTGAGACAGGGTAACTCCTAATGGTGTGATTTCTTCAATATGATGCAGTAGAGAGTAGTATATTTTACAAGAGTCATAACTTTGAACATGGGAATCCTACTTTGGTCTGTGTAGATAATTGAAAAGTAAAGTCCCCTCTCGACAGATAAAGAGCCTTATGAGATATTCGAGGATATTTACATATATTTTTATATCGGTATTGTTGACATTCCCTGTCGAGGGAGGGGTCGGGGGTGCACCGAATTAACAGACAGCGGCTCCGCTGGCTATATCTTGAATAAAAATTTTATGGTAAGGGCAGCATTCCTTACCGTACCGGCTGATGAATGTAAGAAAAAGAAGAACCTGCACGCCGTTGAGAAAACCAGGTGGAAAGAACCTAGCCTCGGTTGCCAATCGACGAAAAGAAAATAAGATTGGCGCCATTGTAGACACAGCTAAGCCAACTACACGGCTTGTTAAACTCAAAAGGAATTATATCTTCGTATTGAAATTTGCTACAAACACACTAACTTACGCCTTTATGTGTGGTTGTTGCACATTTATTTCCTTTGTTTTGATTTGGTACTCACACCAGCACCTCACAGCTGATTCGCCAACTGTATACAAACAAACACTTATTTTTGTTTTTCATTTCACCGCCTCATTCATAACACACGACAAACTCTTATACGACCTTAACAAACAGCGTCAACCACCCACCCCGTCGGTGTTGGTTTTAGTACTCTGCTCACAGTTCCAACATCTCATTTCATACCTTATACAAAAAAAACTCAGAGCAAACTTGTTCTCTACATAATATCCGCCGTTCCAATTCAATGCATTTCACTCAACACATTCAAACACTACACCGGAAGACGTGCTCCGGCTGCTCCGGCAGACATTGTATACGCTCCGCATTGTGCCGTTGTTTTGTTTGGCTATGTTCCACTGGAGTCGGTCGCTACATCAGCAGTACTTCGAGTGAGCCAAACTAGCATTGCATTTGTACAGCGACAACAGCGAGTTTAGTATTCGTCGTCTGTTCGTTTAGTTTGGATGTTGTGTAAAATAACTTCGCTTCTCGTCGCTCGGTTTATAATTTTCTTCCACAATTTTCTATCACTAAAATATGATTTTGTGAAAATTATGTATTTATAATTTTTAAACGATGCTAACACGTGCACGCGTGTGTGTGTGTTTGTGTGTTACTCTACTCTCGGCTTTCGGCTCTCCACATCAGACTGCATTTGTTACTTGAGGAAAATTAAAATTTCTATTAGAAATACCGTTTGAAGAGTTTCTTCAACAGCATGAAATTTGTGTATTTTAGCAACAAAGCGTATGTTGGTTGCACAGTCGTATATTGACAGCTGTCACCTGTCGCGTAGTGTCGTCGAAATTGTCAGTGTCGCAGCTGCTGCTAACAGCCACAACAGGCCAACATCGAAGTTGCCTCGCGTAAGAATTTTTGCAATTGTTGCATATTTGCCGGCAATACAACATATATTTGTACATACACGTATACATATATATATATGTAGTAATCAGTCAAATACTCATCACTGCTGTCTACCGACCGCACAGACCCCCTCGACGTATGTACATGTATGTATGTATATAATACATAAATACATACAATAAGTGCATAATTACATAAAATAGTGAACGTCAGCTGGGCACTGCACTTTTTACGTGTTACCCTCCCCCTTTTTGGTGTGCTACATTACTGCTCTGCATAAGTGACGCTTCATTTTTTGTGCGCCTCTCTCCAAGTGTATACGTATGCATGTGTGCCTCTGTTTGACAGTTCGTTGTACTTCATTTTTTTTTATTTTTGTGTTGCAGTTGTTGAATTTATTACATATGAAAAATGAGAATTAAAAAAATATACATATGTATGTGTGTATTTAGTTTGTACCTACATAAATGGGTATAAAATATACGAGCAAAAAAAAAAATAATAACTTACAACGTGTACGCGAATAAATTCATTATAATTCATCAACATCAAGTGAATGACAACGAAAACGGACGACGAATAAAAAGTTAATTGTTGCAAATTCGCCGGCATTGCGTACACGCAGCTGCCCTTTTTACATGCATATTTTAGTGCATGCATATATGTGAATACATACTTACCTATGTACATACAACGGTGATGTTGTTATTGCTGGCATAAAAGTCGAAAGCTACTAGCCCAAAGGTCGAAGTATTGCTCGTCAGTTGCTTGTGTTCCTCTTATCAGCACGCAAATGGAGTGAATTTAAATTGGAAGTTTGTGGCATACAACTAAAGTCGTAATAAGCATTACAAAATTATCGAAAAAATTTTGAAGTTGAAATTTTGCATTAAATTGTAAATGTGTCGAATTGTGTATATGATCAGCGTGAATTATTATAAAAGTGCGAAATAATCAATCTACAAGTGCACATACATATGTACATGCAAATACCGCTCAGTATTTCAGTAAAAAATAAATAACAGAATTTATATGCAATAAGAAATACAGCTTTAAAATTTGCATTAAAAAGTGTATTTAAAAAATATTTACGCTGAAATTTTTGTGGCTAAAACCTTACATTCCAAAGAAATTTAATGAAATTTATTAACAAAGTGAAAGGCGACGTTTTATAAGTGTTAATAATTTGAAGGTAAATATATGCAAATAATATATTTTTGGTTAATTATCTTTAAGTGATAAGATAGTGTTTTAAATAAAACAAAAAAAATGTAGAAAGTGATTCTTTTGAAGCAGTGTGAAATAAAATGTTTGAAATAATAAACAGATGTACATGTACATATTATAAATAATATTGTATATATGTAGTTTAAAGTAAAAAATTAAAAATAAATCACAGAAAACTCATTTCCTTAAAATTAAAAAAAAAAATAATTCAGCAAATAAAAAATTGTGTGTCAATATAAAATTTTGTTTCAAAATTAAAGAAATAAAAATTAAATTTTACTTAGCAATTGTAAATTGCAAGATTTCAACTGAGTGCAATTGAAACATTCAGGGAATTAGAAAAGTGGATTCGGCTGTGAAGCTCTTTAACTTTATTAAATTATTTCTGAAGGGAATTAAGTTGATGTGTCTGTCCGATTAGTGGCCAGCACTTCTAGGCTTTTTAATCCATTGTACTACCACTAAGTAGCATAGCTCACCCTCTCAATTGTGCGAACCATCTAATAAATGCTGTGAGATTTTTAATGTCAGCTCAGTGCGTCAGTAGAAATATTGGTTTCCTTGAAAGTGTTGTCGCGTGGTGCTGAAAGCTCTAGAGTGCATTGATAAAGTCGTGCTCATCAGACTCTTCCTACCTCACGTTCTTACAGCTACGACGAAAGCCATTTGGGAAGCAATCCAATCCTTCATCGTGAGTTCCCATCTAACAGTGCCCAGTTAATATCTGATGGAGAATCGATTCAGAAGAAGCTTGCTCTTGAGCGTTTGGCATCTAGCATTGGCCATGTGATATTTTTAGTGAATTTAAGCATATATTTTGTTGTGCTTCTTGGGCAGATTTCATCCAGCTACACAGATCACGGCCGTGTTGTATTTCCTACATTTTTTTTTGTCACTTTTGACGTTGTAAAGTGGAATTGTACTGTTCTCAATGTAGCTTGGTGGTTAGAGTATGTATGTAGAAAATAGGTTGGTTCCTGATTGCAGAATTAATCAGTCATTCGGCGGCGTACGTGATTGCAGACCAATAGTTTCTTGCTAAAGTGTGGTGAAAGTATAATTGAGCACGTTTTTTTTTTCTTTTCAATAGTGAGATTTTCAAGACGTGGAAAGTGAACTTATTCTTACAAAAGGAAGGAAGACCAGTTCGTCAGCCATAAATAATGGCAGAGCCAGGGCTTAAAGATATTATACTACTTATATTGCTAAAATGTCTACTGTCTATATGAAAATTCTTTGTCGGCCGTGCCTGTTTTGAAAAAAGAAATCAGTTTTTACACTGGGAAATTCGCAATAAATTTGAATGAATGAGCATATAAACTTCACTTTAATTTTTATATCCTTCAGAAAATTATAATTATCCGCAAAGCCTAGAACCTCATTAAACCAGCGCCTACTTGGTACTTAGCGAATACTGTGGAAAAAATCATTAAGAAATCGCAAACTTAATTAACTGCAGACGTCAGTCGAATTGAGCAGATACTCTTTGAGTAAAGAAAATTTGTAAACAATTACATACATACAAACGAGTATATTGAAATTGACCTTAACCTCAACGTCAACCTTGAACTAAAGTGGCAGCAAGGTTGATGTGCATTGACGAATAAGCAGCGCTTCATTGTACGCAGTGACTGCGAAACTAATTTGTATCTTTTTGTTGAAAAAAAAAAAAATAGTTACACAGATGCCTTTGCACACATCTTAAGCAAATTTCAATGCATGAGTTTTAAAGGAAAAATATGAATTTTTTAAAAATAATTTATTTAATCAAAAATTTGTTAAAAATCATGAATTTTAAAATAAAAATAAAAATGAAGACGAAAACTTGAATTTAATTTGTAAATATAATATTAAATGAAAAATCATAGAAAATCATACATTTGAAAATATAAACAAAAATTAATGCAAAAATGCGAACTGAAAACCGTTTTTCTAATTAAGAGACTTTGTAAATCATGAATTTTGAAAAAGAAATAAAAATTAAAACACGAATTAGAATTTATGTTAAATGAATTTATTAAATAAAAATCGTCAAAAATCATCAATTTTGAAATAGAAATAAAGACTAAAAATCAATTTTTTTTTTCGAAAATTTAAAGATTTTTTTAATTGATGTTTAAAAAATAAAAATTTTGGCCAAAAATTCAATTTTTTTGAAAATGATTTACTTAACGGAAAACCGTTGAAAAACATAAATTTTATAATATAAATAAAAACTAAGACAAAAATTCGAACTTTTTTGAAAAAAAATTTATTTAAGGAAAACACTTTATATTTAGATAATGAATTTTGAAAAAAAAAAAATTAAAACAACACTTTTTGCTAATTTTTTGCTAATTGATTGCACGAAAAATCGTTAAAAATCATCAATTTTGAAACGGAAAATGAAAATAAATAAAAACTTAAGCAAAAATTCCAACTTTTTTGAAATGAATTTATTTAAGGAAAATACTTTGTAGATTATGAATTTTGAAAAAAAAAATTTTTGAAAGAAAATTTTTTAAAAATATCAATTTTGAAATAAAAATAAAGACTGAAATTCATTTTTTTTTAGAAAACACTTAAAATAAACTTTATAAGAAAAGTCGTAAATAATCATGTATTTTAAAATAAGCAAAAAATTTAGAAACGTTCCGAATACTTTTTAAATTATTAACTTAATGAAAACCCGTTGCAATATATAAATTTTGAGATAAAAATTTAGATATATGTTACATTTATTAAAATAGTTTTCTTAACGGAAAACCGTTGAAAAACATTCTAAACAATTTAGAAATATTTTTTTTTAAATAATTTATTTAATGAATTGTCATTTACAATCGTGAAATTCAAAAGTAATTTACTTAATGAAAAGCCATTGAAAATTGTGAATATTAAAATAAAAATAAAAATTAGGACTAAAATCGATATTTTGTTTTGAAAATCATCAATTTAATAAAAAGTCGTTGGAAAACATAAATTTTAAAATAAAAACAAAAATTTGGCAAAAACTCGAATTGTTTTGGCAAAAATTTACTTAATGAAAAATCGTTAAAAATTACGAATTTTAAAACGAAAATGAAAATTAAGACGAATTTCTTCTTTTTTTTTTTGAAAATAATATGTAAGAAAATTGTCAAAAATCATGAAATTTAAAATTAAAATCTAACGAAAATTATATTTTTTTCAAATAGATATATTTAATGAAAAATCGCTAAAAATCATTTGTTTTAAAATAAAAATAAAAACTTCGGCCAAAAATTCAATATTTTTGAAATAAATTAATTGAATTAAAAACCTTTAAAAAACATAAATTTTAAAATATCATTCAAAATTTAAACAAAATTCGTTTTTTTTTTTTTTGTTAATATTTTCTATATATATAAAAATAAAAAGCAATAAATTAAAATATAATAAATAAACCATTTAAAATATTTATTTTCATTATACCCGTATATGGGAAAAATATTAAAAAAATTTTCCTTTATTACCTTTTTATGCACATTTGCACTCCTATAAATATGTATGTAGCCACATTTGTGCATATGTTTCTAAAAACTATTTTTATTTTCCCATTGTGGTTCCCACGCATAATCTGGCGCCAGCTGTTTTCTCTCTTAAAAAATTTTTTTCTAAACGCAACATCTGTTTTCCCTTAAAGTGCCGGTGCCGCACGTTCTTTCCGCTTTCATTATTACTGCCAGGTCAGGTAACCGAATCTAATTCACAAATATCTCACCCTTACTTATTCGTTGAACGTGTCAGGTATGTATGTTTTCTTGTAATTTATTCGCGTATATTGACCTTCAAATGTTAAATGTGTGTGTGATGATGTGTCTTCCACTATTGGCGTGAAAATCTTATTTTTTTTTTTTTTTTTGGAAAAAATATGGTAAACATATGTATGTTTTCGAAAATTTGCAACGAATGTTATTATTGCCGATTTTCCCAAAATAATTTGCAATTTCGCTTTGTTTTTCGCAGTATTTTTCATTAGTGTAGTGTAGAGACCTTGGATTTACCTAGTGCTGGATTGAATTTCATGAAAAGTAGATGCTAAGTCCGTAAACCTTCAACTTATAAATAGAATAAAAGCGAGAAGAAGAGAGAGAAGCGATACTCTCCCACTGCGAAGAACAAGAACATATTAACAAAACAATTTTAGGTTATGTTGAGGAATGCGTGATCTTTTAAGTAAGTTGTGTTCAACGACGAAGCTCATTTTTGGCTTAATGGGTGCGTAAACAAGCGGAATTGTCGATTTTGGAGTGAAGATCAGCCAGAAGCATTGCATGAGCTACCAATGCATCTAGAAAAAGTCGCAGTTTGTTGCGGTTTATGGGCTGGTGGCATCATTAGACCGTACTTCTTCAAAGATGATGCGAATAGTTGCCCATTTTTTTGCCCAAAAATGCAAGAGCTTGACTTGCATGACATGTGGCTTCAATAAGACAGTGCCACATGCCACACAGCACGCATAAGGATGGACTTATTGAGAGATGAGTTCGGTGAACATTTTATTTCAAGTTCGGCACCGGTCAAATGGCCGCCTAGATCGTGCGATTTAACGCCTTTGGACTATTTTTTGTGGGGCTATGTTAAGTTTAATGTCTATGGAGATAAGCCCGCTTCAATTGACGTATTGGAGGACAACATTGAAGCAATTATTCGTGAGATACCGGCCGAAGTGTTAGAAAGATGGATTATTGAGGCGTAGTCGCGGTCAAAAGTTGCTTGAAATAATTTTCAAACATTAAATTATATGTACTTTACTATCGATTCCAATAAGGATTTCATGCATTTTTCTGAATTTTATTTTTTTTTTTTTGTGTGTGTTTTTTTTTTTTTTTTTTTTTTTACCGTTTCAATAACTAGCATTAGCGATGGTACAAATGCTTAGAATATAAACAAAAGGCTAAAAGCGGAACAAAATGACAATGACCATAAACAAACAAACATACCAGTATAATATTGGTGTAAAATCCA